TTATTTCGTCGATAAGAGTTATAACCCAACGTTTATTTTTTACGTTGCCTGATAACTGTTATGCAGGAGAAATATTTTTTCCGTTGCCGATAAGAGTTATTTCCCAACGTTAATTTTTTACGTTGCTGGATAAGAGTTATTTTACAACGTTTATTTTTTACGTTGTTTGATAAACGTTGTAAGATTATTACTTATTGTTTTATATTTATTAAGCATTAAATTAGCTATTTTCATTTAAGCTTGTGTGAGTGATAGCATTTATACGTTAAATAATGTACGTACTTGTATAATTATTCATTAATTAACATAAAAATGCTATCACTCACACAAGCTTAAATGAAAATAGCTATTTACTCAATGCTTAAAGGTGACAAAAAAATCGATAGCGACTGACAAAATTGGAAAGACCAATTTTTTCCTTTTGAAACTTAAAAACAAGAGTTTAGAGTATATTGTGCCAAAATTTCACTGCAATCGCGGGCCTAGAATATATAAATAACTGCAATTGTTTAAATTATTGTTATTAAAGAATTAACTGTTTTGCAAATATTATCCTGCAAATCTTTCTATCGTAAAGGGAAAAGCTTCAGCAACTCTGAAAAAAAATTTCTCAAATTTTATCGAGTTACGAATTTTTCTCTCAAAAACTGCAATATTCTTATAATACAAAAAAAACAAAAACGAAGAGCAATTTCGAAAAACCGTCCAAAGTGTATTTTTGTTCTATAATTATCTACAGATTCCACAACTGTCTTCACTTTCCAAGAAATCAATGGAAATTCATTGACACAGTTGGCGTGGTGGACTCTATTGCCTGCCGAGGCGCGACCGCTCTTAGATAAAACTTAAATGTTACTCGGATCAGGGATCGAGCCCACCTCCTACGAGGTGCTTGTACGCACCTCTAACCACTAAGCCACCAGCGTCTTTCACTAGCAGAATACTTTCAGGGCTGGAGCGTTTGTGTGCATTCGTACGACGTGACCAAGCTAGCAGAGATACTATATTTTAGTTCGGTGCTCTATATCTATGAAGTTGTATAAATACTATTGCCGTGGCCATCATCAAAAGAAGAGGGCTCATCCGGGCCTAGGTTCTCCTTCTCACGGACACTTTGTTTTACATGGCAGGCCCCAAACCCAGCTCACAACCAGAACAAGGGGAATTTGTGGAATTAAATTTTATACATATAGCGAGCTGCTAGCCGACAGACGCCAGCTTTTGAACAGACGCTGCTGACTTCAGCGTTCCCTTAAACCGAATAATTCGGGGTGACCCACCCAAGCTCCTACTCTTGCTCTTCTCGCATATACATAGGTAGCTCACATTCCCTAACGTGCGCGAAAGGGACGCAAGAGTCTCGATTGAGTTTGGTGATGGAACTGTAACTGCATAACCAGAACAACGACCATAACCTACTGCACTCACTCTACTAATTAGTTGTATTAAAATAAAATATACATACATAACTACATTGAATTTTATTGATAATCAGCCACTTTCCGTTTCCGTGTATTCACTATGGACGGATGAAAAAAAATCGGGCGAATATGTTTTCGGGCAAAACTCACGATAAGGCTCACTATAAAGCTCATTGTATATTAGAGTGGGCCGAAAATCCGCTTTTTTGGAATTTTGATTGGTAATAACAAAAATATGGTTCATTATGCTCTAAAAAAATCTGTGTGCAAGACTAAAATTTTTGGTCAATATCTTAGGCTCGTCCAAGTCCATCAAAGTTCAAGTGGTAAAAAAAATGTTTCTTACCTTATTTCGATTCTCTACAAAACGGTCCATAAACCAAAATATGTAGGACTAATACTAGATAATTGAAATTTTAGTAAAAAATTAATTTTTATTTTTTGAGATCATTTGATGGGCTTGAGTGAGTCTAAGAAATTGACCAAAAATTTTAATCTTGCCCACAGACTTTTTAGAGCATAATGAAGCATATTTTTGCTATTACCAATCAAAATTCTAAATAAAAAAGCGGATTTTCGGCCCACGCTATTGTATATTTCTCCCTTTTTTAAATATTGCTAAAAGTTGTGTTGAGAAAAACATATTTAGTTGACTCTTCCTATCAATCTGCGCTTTGAAACAACATGATTTTTAGTCAAAACCGGTTCGGCTCTGATCGATTATACAAATTTAACTAATTGGCAAAAAAAGGATATGTATTTAAATATACATACATACATAGATACATATGTAGAAATATCCATACATGCATAGTAGGGTGATTCCACCCTCACTCGGGTTATTTTCGAGGTAAAATTTTAATATTAAAAGTCTAATTACACTGAGAATAATAATATGTTTAATGAGAATTTTATCAAAGTTGATAAATCTGAAATTTGACCGGTTTTATTATACAAATACTCCTGTGTGCAACGTGATGCTCTTGGTAACTGCGACGAATATTTTTTTCCATTGATTAACAAACTTTTCTGCATTCTAGCCACACTTCAAACTAGTAACGATACTTTAGAAAAAAGCTTTTCAACCCTTCACCGGGTAAAACATGGCTGCGTTGTACCAGGCTGACAGAAAATTTTTTGGTATGAAGTTTTATAGCTCACTCAATCTCACTACAAAAAGTGAACGTTTGAAGTACCTTAAAATTCGCGCTACTTTTGGAGATCGTTTTTGGTTGGAGGCGTTTACCATTTTCTTTCATACAAAATACTTATTTATGTTCTAAAAAACTTGTAATTAAATATCGAAGAAAATGCACAACTTCGAACTTGCACCTTATTATACTGGAATTAAATTGGCTATAAAAATGCATGCCCAAANGACAACTGCGAACTTGTACCTTATTATACTGGAATTAAATTGGCTATAAAAATGCATGCCCAAAGCTTTTCTAAAAAATCTGATTAAAAAATTTTAAATTTTGATAGCAAATTTTTGAAACTGGTTGAATTTTCGCGAATTTCGCATTTACTGACTAATTTTACATGGCAAAATTATATGATTTCAGCTTTATTTTTTTATGAATTATGAATGGCCGGTAAATTACGATAATGTGAACATACTTTATAATATACTCTTTCTGTTCAAAATTTTTAAATTGCTAATATGGAAACCCCGAAAATGCCGCTGTTTGAAAAAATCATGCTACTTTTTTGTAGCTAATTCAACCTTATTTAACAAGTTAACCCAGTCGCCAGTCTCTATCCGCCACTGACCATCACTCACGTAAAACAAGGTTTTCAAATTATTTTTTATTTCGGAGGCACTTTATTTAAGTCTAGCTATATTAGCGGTAATGAGGATAGGTTTGGCGATATTTTCAATATGGCTTAAAATATTTTTAACAACTAAGCCCTATTACTAACTTAAAAATAACAGTTTTTTTTTCGCTTTCATGAATCTCTGCCATGGAAATTAAAATTAAAAACATTGAATATTCATCTCAATAGTGGTGCAGGTAAAAAGGCTTGATTGAAACAAATAAAAAAATACTAAATTACAAATTAAAGTGTTGTCACGATAATTAATCATATTTCATGAAATACCACACGACTCGAAAAAAGAAGCAGAGATGTGGATGGGTGTGAATGAAGATTATAATGAAAGGTTGTCGTTCATTTCAATACACGCAACGGAAGTTGTCTCGTTACCGGTAGTAAATAGTTGGCCGGTGGTCGAGGTTGACTGCGGATGGCAACCGCCGTTTCTAAGCAGTTTACGAGCACACGTCAATTGTGTTAAAATAACATTCTCTAGCGAATTCTCCACATCTGGCGAGGCAACTGATAGCGCTCGGATTGAAAAGATAAGCGGAATTAAGCCTCCACCGGTCTAACAGGCCAGAAATGCAGCCTGATCAACCAAATGCCAATACAAATAAGGCAAAAAAGAGAGGTGAAAAAGAAACCAATGCATTGCACCTTTGGCTTTTACTTACTTTACCATATTCGTTGGCAGTAGTGACTTACGAAAGCGTTAAGTCATAATTGTGCGATCAATCATGAATAAATTGTAAGGAAACAAATATGCCGACAACAAAGGGAAACATCGCTCGATCGGTGCAGACACACGAGTTTCAATTCTGGAAATTGTTGAAGAGAAGCCGAAAATTGGCCCATATCAGCGACTTCATTGTGTTTGACTTACCCGTATGCTCAGGCACACGCTCCTTTAATTGGTTTTTGATGTTTTGGCTACAATAATTTTTAATATCCAATATAAACGTTGCTTATCAAAATGTGCATACACTTCTTGTCATGAAAAAGTCCCAATTGGGATGAAGTGGTAGAAAAAGAGAATAAGTATTTTTTCGCCTAATTTTATTAAGTCGTGTTAATTGATTTTACAACTTCGTGCCACATGTTTCCGCTGTGATGTTCGATACGCCAAAACTGTCAACGGCCTTAATCTAGTTCGTTAGCCACTACTTCTTAGAGCTTACCAAATATTTGTTAACCACGTCACTTGAATTATTAAAGGCGTTTACATTCAAATATACACCTTTACTTATGTATTTGCTGATATACATATGTATACATGTATTTATGTATGTATGCATATATGTATGTACATGTATGTACATTAGGGCGGGTCAATTTGTATGGATCGATTTTTTTCGACATCGTTCCTAGCAGATTTGGATTTTTCATAAAATTCTAAGAAAAAAAGTCCTACAGACCATAGAGCTAAAGTGAATTTCGAGCCTGCGCTATTTTAAAAGATGATATCTTTAATTGATGCTAAGGGGGCGTTCAGAAATCACGTGATCATTTTTTTTTTACATTTTGGGACCCTCTACCCCCATAGTGATCTATGGTGATGTTATGCGAACCCAACCCCCCTAGGATTTTCATCCGGGCCTCCGTCAGAAGACACAAAAATAACCGGCTTAACACGTTCACAATTATCCTTTATGACATTTCGGAGTTGAGTTAATTTGATAAGTTTTTCAAAATCAAATGCATGTGTGGATGCGGNGCCTCCGCCGATTCCCGACTTAATGGAGCCATTCTGTGTTCAACCCTATTAAAGGCGCTTCTACCAGGTGCGTTTGTGAATATAAAAATAGCGTCGAGGTCATGTTTTTGGAAGTGATGAATTGCATGTGCAACCACCTTGGGGTATCTAGGATTTTCATCCGGGCCTCCGTCAGAAGACACAAAAATAACCGGCTTAACACGTCCACAATTATCTTTTATGACATTTCGGAATTGAGTTAATGTGATAAGTTTTTCAAAATCAAATGCATGTGTGGATGCGGTCNCTTTATGACATTTCGGAATTGAGTTAATTTGATAAGTTTTTCAAAATCAAATGCATGTGTGGATGCGGTCGATGACGAGTGCTTTCCACTTCTGATGGCAATATAAGATGGTCCAGAGTAGGTTACTGCTTCCGGACGTCCTATTTCACCATTTTGTATTACACATGCAGCATAAACGCTAGGTATCAACTTGTGTCTGGCGGCTATCATCCAATCGTGATCAGGAAGCGAAACGCGGTACTCCATANATAGTGATCTATGGTGATGTTATGCGAACCCAACCCCCCTAGGATTTTCATCCGGGCCTCCGTCAGAAGACACAAAAATAACCGGCTTAACACGTCCACAATTATCTTTTATGACATTTCGGAATTGAGTTAATGTGATAAGTTTTTCAAAATCAAATGCATGTGTGGATGCGGTCGATGACGAGTGCTTTCCACTTCTGATGGCAATATAAGATGGTCCAGAGTAGGTTACTGCTTCCGGACGTCCTATTTCACCATTTTGTATTACACATGCAGCATAAACGCTAGGTATCAACTTGTGTCTGGCGGCTATCATCCAATCGTGATCAGGAAGCGAAACGCGGTACTCCATATGCATTAAGACAGGTGCCTGCTTGTTAGCAGCTGCTAAACCTATTGGTACACGAGCTTTATTATCTTGCGATAGAAAGCATGCTTGCAGCGGGCCTAGAATACTTGCTAGCGGTTCCAACGATCTAATTGTAGCGACACAGAAGTGCTGGTCCAAATGGCTTTTGTGATGATCAGCCTCTGGCCGACTCAATTTAACAGGTACGGTAACAACGTGCTTTTTTCCTTCCGACGNCATTTTGTATTACACATGCAGCATAAACGCTAGGTATCAACTTGTGTCTGGCGGCTATCATCCAATCGTGATCAGGAAGCGAAACGCGGTACTCCATATGCATTAAGACAGGTGCCTGCTTGTTAGCAGCTGCTAAACCTATTGGTACACGAGCTTTATCATCTTGCGATAGAAATCATGCTTGCAGCGGGCCTAGAATACTTGCTAGCGTTTCCAACGATCTAATTGTAGCGACACAGAAGTGCTGGTCCAAATGGCTTTTGTGATGATCAGCCTCTGGCCGACTCAATTTAACAGGTACGGTAACAACGTGCTTTTTTCCTTCCGACGTTTTACAATTTTTTGGCATTAATCGCAAATATGTCGCGCTTCTAGATATTTGGTAACCGAGATGTAACAATTTTTCATGAAGGTCGCTTAAGGTTTGACAACTCCGTACAATTTCACTTCGCCGACGTTCGTTGGGAGAAGCACCAAACATGGCTATGTCGACAATTGTTTTGAGTAACTCAGGCTGTTTACATTCAATACGAGGACGGACTGGAGTACTATGTGTTACATTGGCTGCGTCGACATTATTTGCACTTATTTCTGCTAGTTTCGATTTAAGAGTTAACCTATGCTTTTTGGAGTGAATAGCGTGAAGCTTTTTTCTTCGGAGATGTTTTTTACAAGACTCAATACGTTTTTTGATTTTAGAAATTTCGTTTGATTTTCCACGGAGCAATGCCACATTGTATTCAGCTTTCAGTAAAGAAATTTGATTCCGCAGAACGTCCTGCGCTGGGGTATTACGACAAATTGGCGTAGTAAACTCTTCAGAGTCCTTGCTATTTTGAACTACGTCTGCGGTTTCACTCTGGCTGCAGTCGGGTTCAATTGCGGGGGTAGAACTGTCGTTCAGTTGAGGCGTTTCTTTATTATTGTTCTGAAATGCATAATACAATAATGCATTACTATTACAAACTTTTAATAAACTAAAATCTGTCATCANCTAAAGTGGTCACATGATTTATGGACGCCCCTTAAACAGATTAATATTTACTAAAGTGTTACGAATGTTATATTTTTTTATAGAAATTGGTATTTGGGGGTTTTTGATAAGAATAATTAATTTTTGATATCTATTTCTTATTTAAAAAACCGCAAGGTGGCGCTACAAATCAATAGCTCAGACAAGTTAGCTAAGAAAATAGGGGTAAACTTACAATAATTCGCATAAAGCTGACAATTGGTACGAATGTTGCGAACACTATTAAAACTGAAATGTCAAAAGTCCCCATCGATCTCACGTCTGCAAAAAAAAGTAATTCAAGGTCAAAAGTCACATAAATTAATTTTTTGAATTTTCCAGCAAAACGGTAAGGTGTCTCATAAAAATAGGTGAGACGAAATTGTAGGTCATACCATTATCTATAAAAACTGTTCTAACATTTGCCTTCCTAAGGATTACCATTTCTGAGATATAGATAAGAGATAGATTCAAAATTGTAGTAAAAGGTGTGTACTAGGGATGGGCGCGGGATAGCGGGACCCGGGAGACCCACGATACTGATTTAAAATTGGCCGGGAAGATCTGTAAAAATATGGTTGACGGGACGGGACTAAAATCCTTTCCCGACACTCCCGATAAAACCGCAACCCCCGCAAAGTCACAAAATCTTCCCTAAAAACGATGTTTTATTGAGATGAAAACGAACAGCAAATCAAAACAAAATAATTGGAAGATGCCAGTGTTTCATTATTATTTTTATTATTTCAAATTAATTTGAAAGACATGAACATTTATGTCAACTTTCGATCGGTTTGCAAACCACGCCACACACGTTGAAATCTCCCGATCCGAATCCGATCGTTTCAATTTGTTGTCCGTTTGTAGCCTGCTTTAAAGATAGATATCGGGACGCACGGGACCCGCGGTAAAATTCAGAAAAACGTCGGGATGGGCGGGTTCGGGACTTAAAAGTCGAATTTCAGGATGGGCGGGATCGGCATTAAATATTTAGTCCCATGCCCATCTCTAGTGTGTACTCAATAATATGCAAATCATAAATTTGTAAAGAAATTTTTGTATTACTCATAACTTCTACGTTTAGTATTCAATTTAGATGAGCAGGGCCTTATTGTATAAATGAAGAATCATGCTTTGACGTGCAAAAATTCATCTTTCATGTTGATATTTTTACCGAAAGTAACTTTTTTAATTTGTTTTTAATTATGCAAAATTGCCGATGAATCAATGATTAGCTCCTAAACTACTAATCCATGTGTGAAATATCGTTTATGCAGAATGCAGAATGTGAAATATCGTTTATGCAGTTTGAAAAACTCGGCTTGTATGAGAGGTCAATGATTAGCTCCTAAACTACTAATCCATGTGTGAAATATCGTTTATGCAGAATGCAGAATGTGAAATATCGTTTATGCAGTTTGAAAAACTCGGCTTGTATGAGAGGTCAATGATTAGCTCCTAAACTACTAATCCATGTGTGAAATATCGTTTATGCAGAATGCAGAATGTGAAATATCGTTTATGCAGTTTGAAAAACTCGGCTTGTATGAGAGGTCAATGATTAGCTCCTAAACTACTAATCCATGTGTGAAATATCGTTTATGCAGAATGCAGAATGTGAAATATCGTTTATGCAGTTTGAAAAACTCGGTTTGTATGAGAGGTCCCACGCCCCCTTTATATATCTAAATATTTTTGAGCCTATAACCATCCTTTGAAAGTCTGCAGTAGGTGTCCAACTTTTCAAAAAAATCGGTAGAGCCGTTGTCGAGATGTCTGAATAGAAAATATGGCTTTTAAAATATATATCGCTAGCTTAGAAAGAAAAGTTGCAAAGTCCCATTTTAAAAATTTTACAGGAGAGGAAAAAACCTTCCTATAGCCATTTTCTTAACTATTTCGCAATACTTTGAATCAAACATTTTGCGTTTAAAGCAAAGCAAAACTCCATAAGAATCAGAAGGATTCGATATTTATTAAAAGATGTCGTATTATTTTGGCCTTATTGGATTTGTGGTGCTCCTTTTGGACTTAGCAAATTTTCCTTTTATTGCTTATGAAGAGGAAAAAATGAAACAAGTACCTTTATAATTCTCGAAACGATGCGTATTCAATTTCTTTAGCCTCTATATCAAAATATGAGTTTTCATAAAAAGTGGACTTAGCAACTTTTCACTCTAAGCTATCGATATGTACATATTAGTATAGATTTCAGAAATTATTTTGTTGTATGAAACAATTCCCAAGCACAAGTTTTTATTAAAAAAAAAATTCGTAAAACTTTAGTATATATTAATCTGCATACTAACTTAGTATTGATTAAAAATATCGTCTTTTAAAATTCCGCAGGCCCGAAATTAATTTTAGAGCTATGGTCTTTCTTTCTTAGAATTTTATGTAGAATCCGAATTGTAAAAAACGATGTCGAAAAAAAATTTACCCGCCCTAAGGTACATATGTAAAAGAAATCGAATGCAGCATTTCTGGTTGTCTTTAATTTTCTTTGAACTGTATCCTCTCACTGACATGGCACTTTATTAAATTGGCCCCTTCCTGTTGCCATATGGAAATCGACCCTCTCCTCCTACTCGACATATGGAGATAATAACAATGCTAATTTATGAACCTAAGTTGGGCACACAGGCCTTTTGGACTGCCATCCGTTATCGAGAATTTCATTCATTGGCATTAGCATTGTTTCTTAACAGATAATTATCACAAATTATCAATAATTTCTGCTGGGAAGCGTTTCTTAACCCAAAAAGCCAGCAGAAACTAGCAGCTCTCTCTCGTTCTACCGCTCTTATTTTTTTTGGCTCTCTTGCTAATTTCTGCTAGTAAAATTTTTATTGTTATTGTGTGAACTTTGTAAATCAACTGTATGGAAACTCGTTCACACATTTGTGATAAATTTCTCCAGCGCACAGTGGCCAATTTTTCGAAAAACCTGGCCGAAAGTCTAAACAAAATTTGGTAAATTCGTATGCATTTAGGCATTTAGTGGGACAAGAGATCGAAATGACTGTTGCTAGCAATTTGCTCTCAACTTTTCGTAAAGTAGAGTTTTCGTCGTTGCTAAAATTGTGGTATTGTATTCCAAAATATAACAGTTTTCAAACATCCGTTAATGGACATTGTAATCTAAAGTAGGTATGTAGAACATACTTTTTCATTGTTACGCTATCTAAATACTGACGTAAGACATAGCTATGTACGGTTTGATTTTTTTTGTTTACTCATTGTGGCGATGGGGGCGAAAAAGCAAAATTTCGGATAAAATATATTACCTCAAATGAGAAATTAAAAAAAAAAAAATTTGTAAGTTTTAATTTTATTTTAATCTTTAATCGTAACCATTTTTTAGGCTTGCACAAGATTATTTATAGAATAAAAAATCGTGTAAAACTCTTCGTCAACGTGAAAAGTTAAAACAATGGGTATGTAGACACTATGAATGTATGTATGTATGTCAAATCGAACTTTCTGATACTACTTTTTGTCTATTTCCGCGGTGCACGTATGTAGGAAATTTCACTTTCAACTGTGTAACCAGACATTTGTATGCGCATAAAAATATTAACGACTTTAAAAATATAATCAAAATTAAAATAATTTTCATAGCCGTTCATTACCGCCAAGCTAGTAGAAATCAGCAGTAACTATTTTACGCCAATGTTTTGCTGGTCCTTCTGCTTGTTTTGAGAGTAAACAAATTTTACTATTACAATTATCATAACTACTGTACGAGAACAAATCATTTCTGTTGACGTCACGCAAATAGCTGATTCTATCAAATTTGCCAAGGAAAATAGCGGTACTGCTGAGGCGCCGCGCCACCTCGTGAATGTGCGGCGTG